GTGTGAAACTCGGTTGCTAATGTTTGTGAAGCACGTAAATGCTGCAGTGACTGTAATAGGTCTCTTGAGGATGTGAATAATTCTGCCTTTACATGAAGACTGGATCAGTGGAAAAGAAAGACAGCTTGGGCCATACATTGCATAATGGAGAGAAAGCAAACTAGTATGTAGCTACTTGTTAATTGAGTACAGTCTTTTTTTTTTTTTTTGCACCAAGAAAAGACCTGTGGGAAGGAAAAAGGAAAATAAGCACGTGATGAAAGATGGCATCCCATGGCACATGCACCAGCATGTTGCCTGAAAGTTGTGTGGGCAAGCTTAAGTCATGTATTTTCTACCTCCTGAGTTCTTAGTAATGATCTTTAACCTAATCTCTGTTATGTACCGCATAACTGACGGGTGAAGAAGGACCTGGATTCCACCACATCTTCTTGTATCAACCTGGGCAAATCACTGGGTCTGCATGGGCCACCTTTACAAAGATTTTTCCTTAAGCCCTTACTGTTTTCTGAAATTAAAGGGAATTAGGCTTTAAGACCTGTCTCTTTCAATTGCAGAAATCAAATCTTTAAAATAATAAAATACTCCATTTATTTGTCCATTATCTATCACATTTATTTAATGTTTCTCTTTTTGAAACTTTTTAGGAACTTCTTGTCTCTTTCACAGTATTTGTCAGTCTCGGCTGTGGCCTCTTGTTGTCATTTTAAGAAAAATAATGACGTGGTAGGCTCTTTCTGAAGCTTTCTGAAACTAACCGAAGCGTTTCTTTTTTTCTGATGGCTGTGGGAGCTCTTCTCTAAGCAAACTCCTTAGCACTGCATCTCTGCTTGGAAGGGTTAAAAACCATGTGAAAGTAAAAAGCTGATCTTTTTATCTTGAGATATATTTAAGAGGTTTGAAGTAAATTAGACATGCAATCATTAATGGGTTGATGAAGTTCTCTGAGAGCCAAATGTGTTCAGGGCATTAGCAAGGGGCTGCCAGGTCTGGCTCCAAGCTCACAGGAACCTGCCTTCCCTGGAGTAGGAGGCAGCGAGGTACCAGGCAGGATATCCTTCATGCAAGCTTCTCCTGGGAAGCTCGCATGCTTAACTGGCTCTCGGAAATGCCTGTATACCAATGCACGCAGCATGGGGAATAAACAGGAAGAGTTAGAGATCTGTGTGCGGTCACAGGGCCGTGATCTCGTTGCGGTTACAAAGACGTGGTGGGATAGTTCACATGACTGGGATGCTGTCATGGATGGCTATGTGCTTTTTAGGAAAGACAGGCCAGGAAGGCGAGGTGGTGGAGTTGCTCTTTGTGGGAGGGAGCAACTAGAATGTGTGGAGCTCTGCCTAGGGGTGGATGAAGAGCAGGTGGAGAGCCTATGGGTAAGGATTAACGGGCAGGCTAAAGTGGGCGACACTGTTGTGGGGGTTTACTACAGGCCACCTGACCAGGAGGAAGTCGTAGATGAGACCTTCTACAGACAGCTGGAAGTAGCCTCACGATCACAGGCCCTGGTTCTCATGGGGGACTTCAAGCACCCTGACATCTGCTGGGAAGAGAGCCCAGCTAGACACAAAGAGTCGAGGAGGTTCCTGCAGAGCATTGAGGAGAACTTCTTGACCCAGGGGGTGGCGACGCCAACAAGGAGAGGTGTGCTGCTGCACCTGGTTCTAACAAACCAAGAAGGTCTGGTTGGAGATGTGCAGGTTGGGGGCAGCCTTGGCTGCAGTGAGCATGAGATGGTGGAGTTCAGGATCCTATGAGGAGGGAGCAGGGCAACGAGTAGGATTGCAACGCTGGACTTCAGGAGAGCTAACTTGGGCCTCTTCAGGGACCTACTTAGGGGAATCTCATGGGGTAGGACCCTCGAAGGAAGAGGGGTCCAAGAAAGCTGGTCAATATTCAAGCATCACTTTCTCCAGGCTCAAGATGGGTGCATCCCTCTGAGTAAGGAGTCGAGCAAAGCGGGCAGGAGACCTGCATGGATGAGCAAGGAACTCCTGGCAAAACTCCAACAGAAGAAGGAAGTACGCAGAATGTGCAAAAGGGGACAGGCCACTTGGGAGGAATACAGGGACATTGTCAGAGTGTGCAGGGATGCGACAAGGAAGGCTAAGGCCCAGTTGGAATTAAATCTGGCAAGAGATGTCAAGGACAACAAGAAGGGGTTCTTCAAACACATCAATAGCAAAAGGAAGACTAGGGAAAATGTGGGCCCCCTACTGAATGGGGCAGGTGCCCTGGTGACGAAGGATACAGAGGAGGCAGAGTTATTGAATGCTGCCTTTGCTTCAGTCTTCACTGCTAAGGCCAGCCCTCAGGAATTCCAGACCCTGGGGACAAGAGAGGAAGTCTGGAGAAAGGAAGACTCTCCCTTGGTTGAGGAGGATCAGGTTAGAGATCTTTTGTCCAAACTTGACATCCACAAATCCATGGGCCCCGATGGGATGCACCCACGAGTGCTGAGGGAGCTGGCGGATGTTATCGCTAGGCCAC